TGGTTGGTGCATAAACTTGGATTACTGTGATGTTGAAAGGTCTGCCTTGGATTCGTATTGACATCATTCTATAATGTTTGAGATTGTATTCCAGTACAGCTTTTCCCACTCTTTTGTTGACTATGAGGGCTACATCATTTCTTCTATTGGATTCTTGCCTACAATAGTAAATATGGTAATTGTCTGAAATGAATTCACCCATTCCCATCCATTTTAGTTCATTGATGCCCAGGATGTCGATGTTTATTCTTGCCATCTCCTGTTTGAACACACCCAGCTTACCTTCATAGATCTTACATTCCAGGGTCCTATGCAGTATTTTTCCTGCTCCAGGTGGATCGTGTTTAGTCGGAACTCTCCACTATGACTTGGGTGTCCCTGCACGGCACAGCCCATAGCTTCTCTGAATTACTCAAACCCCATCACCACAACAAGGCAGCATTCCGTGAAGGAGATTAGGCAAACTAATTATTGCTAATTTGAAGTATATAATTTCTGATATCACAGAATGTGCCCAACACTGAGTGGTTGCATGCGTTATTTCTGATTCTATATTTAAACACATTTACTGTCCCAGCTTTGCTTTGTCCTTTTTAAATGTGTACGTAAACCTGCTTCTACTTGCCTTCCTTCCGTAGATAACAGCAACTGAAGTAAGACAGACCAACCAAGAGAGGCTAATGGGACCAGCCTTATTTGTTTCACCTAGCAGTGGAGTGGGAAACCCACAACTGAAGGGTTACATGGGCCCTTCATAGCTTTTCATGTCATCCCTGCCTCAATTTCAGCAGGTCTGGCAGGCAAAAAGGAGCGCCCTTCCTTCATATCCTTTCCTAGCAGACTTATTGATTCTGCAGGGGTTACAGGATGTCACGAGATGACTCACCTAGTTTGTTCAGCTGAATATGATTCTCGGTTCTAATGTAAATTGTGGACATCTCCTGCATACTCTTGCACCTAGCTGATTCCCCCCCCCCCAGTTCCTTCAGCAATTGAAAGATTACAATTACCAAAGGTTTCCAGGAGGAGGAAATGCAGCCTCATAATCCCAAGACCTTATCTGCCCACCAAGGTACTCATGGTAATAGGGAGGTCATGACCCAGCACAGGGTAGTAAGAACAGCAAGCTCCCTTCTTTCCTGGATGAAAGGTCAAGGAATGGATAGAATGAGGTGCTCCAGATGAATGCAATTTTAATGGCTGTTGGAATCAAAGGCAGCTAAAGTAAATGAAGGCTTCTGTACATGTGGTATCATTAAGAAACTAATGCATGAACCAACCTTTAGACACTATTGAGTACAGATGAAGGGTATAATAATGGTTCTTGAACAAAAAACACAGAAAATAAGAATCCAATCTGTCATAATAAATGTCAGTGGCTCATAGTTTTGGAAGAGATGAACCCATATATTCTGCCAACTGCATTCAAACTATGCAATTTTGTTCAGCAGTAACTCTAGTTGCTTGTTAAGACTGCAAGGAGAAGTCATGCTCCAGAATTCCATTGTTATTTAAGATGCAATTGATGAGTATACTGGAATCACATAGTCGTGTGTGGACTCTGGGACTCCTAGTTGCAGGAAACCTGGGGACGCTTTCCCTCCGAGCTTTTGGAAAGGTCAATAATACATTTTTTTCTACAATGTTTTTAATATTACTCTGCTCTTTGTTGATTGTTCTAGGGCACCAGTGTCCTTAGGAAGGGTTTCCTTCCCCCATACATTATCA